CATTCGAAATGAAGGTCCCCCTAACAATGTTGTCTCAGGAGATTCATCGAAACCAAGTTTCTCTTCGTATCTATAAAGTATTGTTGTCGTGACTTCCAGTAAATCAGTAGTATGAGATGTATTCACCCAATTTCGTTTAAGATGATGAAGGACTGGTAGAAGAATTTGCCCACAATGCTATGAGTAGAGCTGACGTTTCCATTCAATTTCACATAACGTGTCAAGCTGCCATTCTGCACTGTCACGGTTCGACTCCCGCGGAGGGTGTTGATGCGAGGTCGAAACTGCGGTCCACCCTGGATGATAAGATCTTTTGGGAAGGCAAAGCTATTTGAAATTCAATGGAAACGTCAGCTCAACTCATATCATTGTGGGAAAATTCTACTACCAGTCCTTCGTCACCTTAGACGAAATAGGGTGAATATATTTCACATCTTTTAAGTAGACTGAGAGTAAACTATGTTTTTTCCATAATAGCAAAATATAATTTACTTGTCAACACTGGTAGAACATGCAATGATGCTTTGCTTTTCTGGGGCAAGAATACTGAATTGGTCCGTTCTTACCTTCGCCGCCGAGGGCATAGATACCATGTTCGGTGGTACAGAGCGCGTGAAAACTGCGTTCGCGACACATTGACGGCCATTCCTGCCATCGATCTTCAGCTACCACGTAGGCCATGACCTCTGATGTCGACCTGTAGTTTGTGAGGCCACCGACCACAAAGATCTTGTCACCAAGGCAGGCTGTCTGGCAGCCCCAAACATGCCATGGAATCCTTGTCAGCCGCGGATGGAGGTATATTCGCCGGCGGGCCGCCTCAAAAGTGGGCAAAGTGAGGCCACACGATGTGGACTTGGCGTGTGAACGCAGGGGACATTGAAGCCGACGCGTCTGGCTTCTCTCCTGTTCGGTGCCTGTGGAGACGGCACCCTTGACGAGGGGAGCTTTGATGCCAATCAAGCCTCCCAGTGGAGTCTCCAATACGGCAGACTCGTCATTTCGACCTTCTGCGTTAGGCTGGCGTTCATTGCGTCTGCAGAGGGCTCGGCCCCAACCGGTGAGTCGTTGGCGCCAGACGTCGACTGTACCGTCGGGAGGCTTGTCTTTCGCTTCCAATTCCAAATCTTTGGCATCCAGTCGGATGAAATGCATATTCGGCATTACCAGATAGCAAGTAGCCGAAGAAAGCCTATTTCTGTTGACGTTATCGCGTCCATCGAAGATGACAAGACTGAGAACCAACCTCTATTTAGGGCAAGTAGAGTAAAAGGGGAACAAGGCTGTTGCGCTTAGCCGGTCATATGCAGTAAAGGTAGCTAAACACACGCATTGTGTGAGAACGGTTAATTCAAGACAACTGGAGACTGGAAATGAGCTCGAAACAAGGCATACATGATGAGTCTGAGAGAGAAAATTTCGCTTTTCACCCCATTCGGTTTGAGGTGAGTGGCTGTTGAATAGTCTCACAACAATATAAGTCGAAAGTATGAAGACCAAGATGGTGTGGTCTTTTTTATGGTCGCAGTCCCCTTCCATTGTATAGAATTTGTTTGTATTTGAGTAGGGTTTCGAGACTACCAGTAAATCAGTGTAATGAGATGTATTCACCCTATTTCGTGTAAGATGAGAGTAAGGGTTTCGAGACTACCAGTAAATCAGTGTAATGAGATGTATTCACCCTATTTCGTCTAAGGTGATGAAGGAATCGAGACTACCAGTAAATCAGTGTAATGAGATGTATTCACCCTATTTCGTGTAAGGTGATGAAGGACTGGAAGTGACTACCAGTAAATCAGTGTAATGAGATGTATTCACCCTATTTCGTGTAAGGTGATGAAGGACTGGTAGTCGACTACCAGTAAATCAGTGTAATGAGATGTATTCACCCTATTTCGTGTAAGGTGATGAAGGACTGGTAGTATGATTTTCCCACAACAATGATATGAGTTGAGCTGACGTTTCCATTGAATTTCACATAGCCTTGCTTTCCCAAAAGTTGTTTTCAACCTTGCTTTAATGATATGAGTTTAGCTGACTTTTCCATTGAATTTCACATAGCCTTGCTTTCCCAAAAGTTGTTCTCATAATACGAATATAAGTAACGTTGTCA